ATAATATAAATATATAAGCTATTCTGAACACGAATATAGCCTTAGAAAAAGACTAAATCTAGTTTTCTGCAAGACTCTCTATAGTCTTTAACCTTATATATCTTAAGTATAAAATTAAGGTATTAGACTAATTAATAAATTTGCTAGACAAATTTATGCGTAATATAACTATTAATTATTAATTTAGATAATTTATACCTTTAAGAAAGGCAGTTAAGCTTACTAAAGTACTATAAGTTATCTAATATAATATTATTAATTTATACTTGGCTCTATTATAGTAATAAGTCACTTTATATTATTAGTAATATAAGCTAAAAGTCTTTTTTAAAGACAGAATTATAGAGCCGAAGCCTAAGCAGGCTATAAATAATATTAGAGTTAGTTGCTTTAAAGTTGTTTTTGTAAGAGATATGACTTATCTGATCAAATTTTAATACGAAACGCCATTTTATATTAAAGCCAAAGATCTTTAAACAACTAGGACTCCTCTTTCTTTAGAAGGACTATATGTTTAGTATTCTACTCTTTAGCGATAGCCTATAAATTCTAGGCTTAATATTCTAGATATATGCGTTATAATTGTAAGCATAATCTGTAAGGCTTACTATCTAATATTTTATTTTACTAATATTAGAAATATGGCTATAACCTTATATATATAAGTATTAGTAATAACTTAGAGTTCTTAGTCTCTCTTTATAATATTACAGAAGATCTTTTAAGATTACTATAATTAGAACTTATCTTCTTTGTTATTCCTGTAGAAGTAGCGAATAATCTTAATACTTAAGATCGCCTTAAGCTTTCTATAATTCGTACAAACACTATAGGTGTAGCCTTTATAATCTGTAAGAAATATCTATATCCTCTCTATAGCTGATAGCCACAAACTTGACCTTAGACGCTTATTCCTTTTTATAGACTTTAGTAGAAACTTTTTTTTGTCTGTTAATAGATAAGCCTAAGTTAAGGAGGACCTTCTTAAGCTCGATATATTGCTTCTAAAGATCTGGTATGAAAATAATCTTAAAACCTAGTTTGTCTAACAACTTAATATAAGTAATAAGTTATTTATAACTTGTGCTTATGCTCTTTAATAGCTTAAAGACCTTGAAAACCTCTTGCTAGACTATTACTTCTGTGTTATAAGTTATTACGTCTTTAGTCTTATAATATCTAACTTATAAATGTTAGAATAAGATTATCCTAATCTCTGGAAGTCTATATATAAGAATATAATTAATCTGCTATCAAAGATAGCTTATATATAAATACATCTTTATATTTATTTTAGTAACAATTAAATCGGCTTAAAAGCAGTTATTTATAGTATTTTACATAGGTTCTTAAACCTAAAGTCTCTTAGAGTCGCCTCTTTTATTATATGAAATTCGTAATTTTCCCTAAGTAGCTAAACTATTCTCTTTTCCCTTAATATATATATAAAAGTTATAAAATATATAAGAAATGCTAATTTTGCCTTTCTTAATATAATAAGTGAAATGTAATAAGGCTACAGTAAAATACTAGTCATAGTCTTTTAATAAAACTAAAGCTGCGTATTAAAAAGACGTGGTTGTCAGCCGCTTACCCATCTATGATCTGATTGGTGTAGAAGCATGTTTCAAGCTTTTCTGTAATCAGGCAAGTTGCAGCCACAGTGGGCCTGAACTTGCCAGCATTTCACGGATTTCGTGTATCTTTAAGAGTAAAGGCGATTCTACAACGTATTATTACAACGTCAGCCAGTTAATTTTCCTTAATTTCACATTCATTCCTTAGATGGGGGTTAAAGAGCGACAATAATTAACAGGGTAATAGGACATAGGAGCAGATCAGCCGGTTATGACGGAAGAGTCATCTAGCGACGAGAATGTGTCATAAGAGAAGGGATCAAAGCCAGAGTATAAAACGATCCAAGAGATGTACGTCCCCTGCAAAAGAACAAGTTCTAAAAAAAGCTGATATAACCTCTCTGTAGCTGGGATGAAAAAGCGTATAAGTACTAGATCGTTGAACCTATAGCCCTATTAGGAGAAGTAGATGAGCTAGATGAGTATGCATTTGTGATTCAGGTGAGGATTGGTAAGCTATTTGGCCTTTGCATAGCTGATTATTATTGATGATGTCATATTCTAGACAAGAAAACTACGGAACCAACTTCTACATTAATATCAAGTCAGAAGGATTACGAGACATCCTGCGGACTGTCCTGCGAGACGTCAAGAGTGCTGCTTCATTGACTTCAATAACAAAGTGTATAAGGAAACCCCGGTTTAGCTTGTCATTAAGAAATTCCGTAGAACGAAGGGGATTGACTCTCTTGACGCCTTTCCTCTTCACTATCATCTGAACCAAAACGAGGTAAAGACGAATCTCATCAAGTATAGTCGAAAGTTTGTATCCTTAATGAGCGTTCATCATCTTCAGTATTAAGGAAACGCATTCTATATATATATAAAGGGCTACTAAACAAGTTTCTTGTTAATAGCCAGATCATAATTAATACAGTCTTCTTTTAAGAGGCTAACCCTAATTACATTATACCTTATATTAAGAAGTCGGCCAAAAAAAATTAATAGATAATGAATTTATAATCTTTTCGATTGATGATCCTTAAAGAAATAGTCAGGTCAAGTAAAGAGGAATAGCAAAGACCCTGCTAAGATAATAAAAGATGACTTAATCCTTTACAGCCCTATTATACTAGGATTTAACTACAGAAACAAAATATAAAGTAAGTAAAATATTTCTTTCATTACTTACTAAAGAGAAGTAAGACACTAAAACTTTAAGTAGCTAAGTTTATAGTTACTAATATTAAAGAGATTAATTAGAATCCCTTATCTTTCATCTAGCTTATAATTCCTTTTAAGAAAAAAGAGGTTATTTAGGTATTAGCTAAAGTATACAGAGATTAAGCGTTAGACTATATATTTAATAATTTCGTGATTAGGAAAGGACTAGGTCTAATTATACTTTTATAGTATAGCCTTTAATCTACTTATTAAATGTTATTATACTAATTTCTTTACTAGTAAGCTCTTAGATCTTAGCAAGACTATAATAGCTAAGTAAATATTTAAACATCTTTAAAAACTACTCTATTTAGTATATTTTATAGCTAATTAATAATATTACTATTTTAAAATACTATCCTTCTTCTTAATAAAGCTAACGTATTTCCTTAAGTAACGTTTATCTTATAATATTTATTATAATGCCTTTGTCTTTATATTCTTATAAGAATTAAAGTATTATTAAAGGATTATATTCCTTATAACTAATTAAGTAAAACATATTAATAACATTATTATAAGCAGAATATATCTCTTATTAAGATATAAATTCTTAAGCCTAAATAATAAAAAAGGCATCTAGAAAGACTTTCTTAAAAAGGCTATTACTAAAGAGGAAAGGACGTCTTATAGTTGTAAAGACTTTAAGCGTCTTGTAAAAAAAGATATTAATAGTCACTAAGTAAGCTTTCTTACAGAACGTTCGAAAAGACTTATATATTAATTATTTATATATCTTAAATCAAAAATACTATTTATATTTATAGCTTATATATTAATAACTTAAAAAAGATATTAAATATATATCTTTTATGTAAAATATCTACACATTAAATAGAACAGGATTAAAGTCAAAATCTCGAAAAAGTAGAAAAAATTTGTATGGAGTCTCATACAAATTTTATCAAAAATTTGAATTACTCTACTTTCTAGTTCTCCTGTTTAAAATCCATAAGTTTTAAGAACTAAGTTTCTATTAATAAAAGATTAATCTACTAATTTTAAATATCTTCCAAATTTTTAAATATAGGATTGACACCTAGCTAAAGTTTTTATTTAGTTGTAAACAGTGCGGGTTTTGGTGTGTTTAGAGGTTTAGTCAGATACTTTCGCGTGTGACTGTAGCAACTTGCAGTCTTATGCGTAGCTATCTGTTGTCACTAGCTACAGACGAGCTTTCATAATCATGCGTACTTACTCTTTGATTAGAAGGAGGGGATCGTTGCTGAAGCTTGTTTGTAGAGCCAAGACCGCTGAATCATTGCTTTCAATGAGACTAAATAAACGCTTGAACTAATCTTCATATAGAGCCCGTTTCGCAGTAACTTTGAACTTCCTATCTTTCTTCTTCGAAGAGTGCGAAATCTCTTCCCCCGCTGGTGGCACGGGTCCAGCTTCGGGTACCTCAATGGCTTCTGGTGTATCGGGCTCCTCTTTACTCTCTGCGATTTCTCTGCTCAAGAGCCCGGATTTCTCAGAGGCTGGGCTCCCACGGTCGTAGGAACTATCAGACAGAGATCTGACGCCTACCTCAGACCCCTCATTAGACCCCTCATCAAAACCCTCATCGTCGTCGCTAGGATCATGGTTTGCAAATTTAAACCAGGTGCCCCTTTGAATCGTGCTATCATCTACACCTGTTCAGCACATAAGCATTGGTTCAGAGTGGGATAAGCTAGGTGAATTTCGCACCAAGGACTCTAACGCTAATAAAGCGTTTTCAAGGTTTCAGAGCCTTTCATGAGAACGTCCAGTTGTCTGGTCAGTTGTTCGCGCTAAGCGCGATTCTCCTCAGATTCACCAGCGATGCGAGTCACGAGGTCGGCGGGCATAGAAGTGACAGTTATCGGAGAAAATATATCGTAAAGTGGGGAAACGAGCTTGGCCTTGATGACTTGATTTCGGCCTAACTGACTCGTGCTGTGAGCCTACCCGATATCGTCCAGAATAGGGACGCCCACATTAAGACGATTGGTCGAGCAGGTTCAGACTTATGTTGGCGGCGTATGTTCTCATGCGAGGAGACATCCAGCCCAGTCGTCAGGGAGGAGACATTTTTGTGGAAGATGTCTCCGTAGCAAAGAACCGCGCACAGGCCATGTCACACCTAGGTGTATGTCCTCAGTTCGATGCTATGGGACACGATGACTGTGGTTGAGCACTTGAACTTCTATGCTCGAATACGAGGAGTGCCTGATCTTACACACAACGTCAACGAGGTGATGCGAGGCGTCGGTCTCCAGCCTTATGCAAATCGTATGGCGGCTAAACTCTCGGGCGGTAATAAGCGAAAACTCTCGCTTGGAATCGCTCTTATAGGCAACCCTTCTGTGCTACTCCTTAACGAGCCTTCTTCCAGCATGGACGCTGCAAGCAAACGAGTCATGTGGCGGACTCTTGCTTCCGTTGTGCCCGGCCGCTCGCTCGTGCTCACCACATACAGCATGGAGGAAGCCGACGCGCTCGCCAACCAAGCAGGAATTATGGCCAGTAGAATGCTAGCTTTAGGAACAACCGACCACCTCAGACGAGCATCCTAAACCAAATCCCAAGAAAAAAAGAAAATCTGCCCTACTCAGGTCTTCTCCCCTGCAGTAATCACTGCTTGTTATTGGTTGCTTATTAGGGGGGTCCTGAGCTGTTACCGCTCAAGATTGGAACATAAGTCCCAGTTGCCGGATCCCATATGAAGCCTGCTGGTGCAGGTGCCGATGGCGGGTTGTAGGCTGTCAAGTAAGCCGGTTGCGCTTCTAGATGCCCATGAGCCGCCGGCGATACATTCTTTACTTGATGGAAAATCAATCCTCATCTCATGTAAGATAGCACTAAGACTTTCTAACTCATCTCCTGGGGATGCTGGAGTTTTTTTAGTGACTGCATTCTTTTCTTTTTTCTTCTTAGCAGAGATATCTGTTGTCTTCAGATCCTCCAATTCTTGTCTCGCCCTGGAAGCTTAGTCTTGCTCCTTTCGCAATTACTAATTATAGCTCTCTAAACTTCATCTGATCATTGAGTGTCTTAGACATAACGGGTAGAAGGACTGTCATGAGGAAGCAAGCATCCACATCCAAGTCCCATGGTATATATATCTAGTCCCAACCGAATCCCCTAAACCCGCAAACCATTAACATCATACGCAACACCATATCCACCCCCAAACTCTACCAGCCATCAGCTAAGCACCAGAGCGCGAAAACGGCCAACAACGAAGCCCTACCCAACCAACTCCATTCCTCGGCCCAGCATTCCCATTCCTATACGTACCGAGCTGATCCTCGCCCTCGACATTATATTTACCGACGATACTTAAAAACACCTGCTCCAGCGTCGTCTGACTGACGCTGTAATACTCGAAGCCGAGGTTCTGCTTGTTCTTCCCTAGTAACGTGAAGAGAGCGGATATGCTGGCGCCTATAGAAGTAGAGGGGCCAAGACCTGCCACAGCGATGGCATAGCGAAGAGATCACTCCTCCTTCGAACTTTCACTGTCCTCCTCTCACCCCTCCTCCTAAAGACGAGAAGGAGGCGTGTGACACAAGCTATATTCTTTGACAAATCGCGAAACATAGGTCTGGTAATACGGGCTAAGCAATATACAAGGTCAACAAGAAAGTGTGGACTGCTGTGAGTCTACTCTTGTTGTGAGACGACAAGATATAGTATGCCAGATTTGTTTACAGAGTCAAAGGTGATATCATGCTAATGTCAAAGCACAGGCTTAATTATTTTTCTTTGATTGAGCGCCTTGTCTAGTATATGCCTACAAAGGTGCATAAGCAGTTCTTACGCAGCCTTACTAGATATATTACTAAGCAGCTACATTTACTCTTATACAGGACTAGATCAGCTACAGATTTTACAAAGGATATTAGAGATATCTAATCTATAATAATAGGACCTCAGGACTAAGAATATAAGACCTATAATCTAGATAGTTCCTTCTAATATCTTAAGTCAACCTTACTAATAGTGATTATTAAGGTTACTTATTTACAGAAGAGGGAGAAATTAAGAACCCTTGTAGAGGAATATATTCTCAGGTTTGATCTTAAGATCAGTATTATTATTAGAGTAGACATCAAGTATAGCAAGAGTAATAGGGCTACTTTTTCTATCTGGCAGGCTAAATTATAGGGCCTAGATGATGATAAAGTTTAGATTATCAAACTTATATAGCGAACTAGATAAGTTTGGCTGAGCCTATTGCCTTGCGGAAGCTGATATAGTGCGGATATTCCGACATGATAATAGTAAGCCAAATATTAACTAAAACGTCAGTTTACGTCTACACCTAGAAGACTTTACAGATTAGAAAACTTGCTGACAGTTTAAGAAAATAGACAGATATATTTGTATCTTGTGATAAGTTATATTAGTATCTCAAAGAAGCGGAAACTATTGCAAAGAGTGCTGAATCAATAAAGCCAGAACGAAACCCATGACTAAAGAAGCGTCATTAAACACAGACACCTAAAGAGCAGCTTAACAATCGTGACGAGGATGCTTACGCTAAGGACGAAGAACATGTCTCTAAGTGTCAGGACCTGGATGATGCTTCTTACCAGGAAAGCTTTTCAGAATGCACTTAGGCAGGCAAAGTCGTGAAGTGACTTAGTTTTAATTACAGATCAGATTTGCCTTAATATTCTTAGACTAATAAAAATTGTGCCAGGGGGATAGATAATAAGAGGCTGATTAACGCGATGACTAAGATACAGTAGTCTCTGAACACATGTAGACTATCCAGGGTTTATCAGTATCAGAGTTCTACGCCGGAGTCTAATGCATTTTCCTGGTTTATATTCCCGTTAGGCTGTACTCTTGCAAGCAAAGATGACTCCGGCTACTCGCCAAGGTGTTCGGCTGCCTATTTAGCTGCCTTACAGAATTCATTATAGTCTATAGCTTTCGCCCTTTTGTAACCTCGCTATTCAGGATATCTAGCAAGTTCTTTTAGCTCCTTATAGTAGAATAATTTATACTAGAGGAGTTTAAAGTAATACGTGTTTAATATCTGCCTTTATATTTAGAGCTCTTAATAACTAGTGTTATTTATAAGGCTCTGCTTATAAAAGTCTTTAAGCTTTTTTCTTATCTTTTTTATATATAAGAAATAATAAATATATAATTCTTTAGCTCTTAAGATATTAAATCTAAGTAATCTTTATATATTATTATAATATTATTCTCTTATTTTAGTTATACTTTTAGTAATTGATAAATATCTAAGTTAAAAAGATTATAAGACAAAACTTCTTTAATCTAATTATTAATATTTTCTAAAGTAGCTTTAATTTAATTAGTATTATTATTATTTATATTGCCTTAATAATATTAATAAGAAGAACACTAGTATTTAATATATTAGTTAGATTTATTTAAGAAGATATAGATCTTACTAGTATCTTAATACTTAAAGTAATTATTAATTATATAATATTATACTTAAGAAAGAAGTTTATAAAATAATTTTTCTTTATACTTTCGTAATTCTTTAGTTTATTAAAATAATTATTTAAGTAAGCTTATTTATCTTATAGCGTTAAAAACTTATTTTTTAATTAAGATTAATTACTAAATTTCTAAGTATAAATGCTTTAAATTCAAATCCTTAACTTTAAATAATATTAATATAAAAAGTCTAGCTTATTTTATCTTAGAATCTATAATTAAGATTATAAAAAGTTGGGTATTTTACTTTACTTATATTAGGATTTATATTGCTTCCTTTTTAAATCTTCTTAAGCTAATATTAGCTTATATAATCTGTAATAAGTCTAAATAACTACTATATTATCTGTTCTTATGTTCTTTACATATTAAATATAACTCCTAATTATTCTTAAAGATGTATTAGCGATTCTAAATAATATAAGTAGAGCAGGCTCTTATCTTTATATAATTCTCTTAGTTATAAAGGTTGTTAGGAGAGCTATGGTTAGGCCTAATATACAAGACGAAGCGTGAAGAAAAGGAAACGAAAGTGGGAACATAACGCTCTATATATATGTCCGTGCCCCTTATCTCGCTGAGGCCAGGTACAGACAACTGTGGGTACCTGTCGTCAGTGATGGCTAGAATAGCAGCGGGGAGCTGGGTCCGAGATGAGCTCTGTGAGCCATGGTCAGTGCCACAGGGAATATGGTCCTTGGCGTAGGTCGCGGGAGGATTCGTAACAAAGGTAAAGTTAACAGTTAAAGAGTTTTAGATAGCTCTTTATTAATATGTTTTTAAGTTGTGCTAGAATAAGTATAAGGTACAGGACCTACTTACCTAATAATAGATAAATTGTCTAATAGCAGGGCGGTTATACAGTATAGGTGTAACTACTTTAAATCATAACTCTATTATAATTTAATTACTTAAGCACCTAATCTATATTAGTTTTATATATATAATATCTGTATTAGAACTTGTCATCTAAATTACTTCTTTCTTTATACTCAAGGTCATTCTAATTAGTTGTAGCTTATCTATTTATGTTTATATTATTTCTTTATTATTGTAATAAACATAGTTCTGACAGCTCTTAAATAAGCCTTTGTTTACAGAGTAGTTATCCTATTACAACATAACCTGCGTAATAGCCCAGAGGGGCATTAGGGCTGAGGGCTAGGGCAGGCTTGGCGCTCTGAGCGTCATACCTCGCTCTTCGCCTCCATAGCACTTAGATAGTCAGCCTTCACTATACCAATTGACATAGTCATACAGTTGCCCTCCATAGCTTCTTCGTGACTCTCCTGCTTCTATAGCACACCATACCCTGTTGCACGGCTTTCCGCGTAACACATCCCTGTTAGAGGCGTATTTATTATACTGCAGAGCTTGAGTGTCCTTATCAAAGTTGATTAATAACTAAAGATTGTGTAGCCTCATAATCTTAAATCTAACTTACTTTATCTTTGACCTATTACTTCTTTTGCCACTTTAATCTAAAGTAACGTTAAAACATGACTACTTTAGTCTCTAGCCTTTCTATTCCTTCTAAGTTTAATAATGAAGCTAATAATACCGAACTTTCTTTAGGACATATATAGGCCTACTTATGTAAGCTTCCCTCATGTCCTGATTACAGCAAATCCTAGAATCTACAAAGCAACTTTTTATTTCATTTGCAGGAGTGGGAGGCATATAGAACTACAGCGACGACACCTGCTGTACGCTGTGCGATTAAGATGAAGTAGCGATATACCACAGATCCTCATCTGCCCCCTCAGGCAGCCTCGGATTTTGGTTCTCAAGAGGATCTCGACGAGCACATCTGGGTCTACAGTTTTAAAGATGATAGAGGCAAGGTGATAAGTGGCACAGGCACTCTGAAGCAAATGGAAATACATAAGCCTTTCTAGGCCGGCAAGCAGAAGGAATGCCAGACGTATAGCTGCTTTTCTGTCAACACCCGCGCGATGAGCAGCGGCTCCTCTGCCGCGAAAGATCTTAGGGAACAAATGTCTCAGGACAACATTGCCGTCTTCATGATCTAATGTGTTGCGAAAGATTTGCCTGTCTCTGCAGTTGCTGCTCGAGAGCCTCTTGGCTG